CTGCCTGATTTCGCCTCCAAGGCAGTCCATCATCACAGTCCCAGCTCTGCTTCTTCTTCTTCTTCTTACTGCCATCAGGTGCGTCTCGCATGCTGACAGCTGGATGTTCTTCCAGGTTCTCATAGTTCCTCTTCATCTTCTTTCTGGGGCTTCTAGAGTCTTCAGAAGAAACAGATAAGAAGACATCCAACCTCCTCTGGGAGACAACCTGTACATAAGCAGGGATTAAAGCATTAAAAAAAACCTGAACCTAAACTTTTTAGACACAGGCAAAACTCTCTCTCTGTATATATTAGGGTTATCACGATACTAAACTTTTCAACTCGATACCGATACTAACGAAAATATTCGATACTCGATACCATTTTCGATATCACAAGGATAAGAACAAAGCCTCCAAAATTCTACAGAAATATTTTCATTAATAAATGAAATACTATAAATAAATACAATAAACAATAAGAACAATATTTTGAGGTTGTATACTGTGCACAATATTAAGCAAGCTTGATAAAAAACTTATAAAATTAAAATTTAGTGTTCCCTCCTTGGCTATGCTTTGCACACATAACAATGACACTAGCCAAACCGGTTAAGAAACAAAAATAATTCTCAGCAGCTGCACCTCTTACAAAAAAAAATTCTGAAACTGAAAAGTGCGTAGAATTATTCAATCACACAGAAAGTGCATTGTCCTCTATTCTGCACTTTAGATGAATGACTACTTAGGTTCCAGTGGTGGTAGCACTGTATCGATACTTTTAAAAACGAGTATTGTATCCGGATACAACGTTTCAGTATCGATACTTTTGACAACCCTAGTATGTATATATATATATATATATATATATATATACATATATATATATATATATACATATATATATATATATATATACATATATATATATATATATATATATATATATATATATATGTATATATATGTATATGTATATATATATATATATACATATATATATATATATATATATATATATATATGTATATATATATATATATATATATATACATATATATATATATACATATATATGTATATATATGTATATATATATATATATATATATACATATATATATATATACATATATATGTATATATATATATATATATATATATATATATATATATACATATATATATATATATATACATATATATATATATACATATATATATATATATATATGTATATACATACACTATATTGCCAAAAGTATTTGCTCACCTGCCTTGACTCACATATGAGCTTAAGTGACATCCCGTTCCTAATCCATAGGGTTCAATATGACGTCGGTCCACCCTTTGCAGCTAGAACAGCTTCAACTCTTCTGGGAAGGCTGTCCACAAGGTTTAGGAGTGTGTTTATGGGAATTTTTGACCATTCTTCCAGAAGCGCATTTGTGAGGTCGCACACTGATGTTGGACGAGAAGGCCTGGCTCTCAGTCTCCGCTCTAATTCATCCCAAAGGTGTTCTATCGGGTTGAGGTCAGGACTCTGTGCAGGCCAGTCAAGTTCATCCACACCAGACTCTGTCATCCATGTCTTTATGGACCTTGCTTTGTGCACTGGTGCACAGTCATGTTGGAAGAGGAAGGGGCCAGCTCCAAACTGTTCCCACAAAGTTGGGAGCATGGAATTGTCCAAAATGTCTTGGTATGCTGAAGCATTCAGAGTTCCTTTCACTGGAACTAAGGGGCCAAGCCCAGCTCCTGAAAAACAACCCCACACCATAATCCCCCCTCCACCAAACTTTACACTTGGCACAATGCAGTCAGACAAGTACCGTTCTCCTGGCAACCGCCAAACCCAGACCCGTCCATCAGATTGCCAGATGGAGAAGCGCGATTCGTCACTCCAGAGAACGCGTCTCCACTGCTCTAGAGTCCAGTGGCGGCGTGCTTTACACCACCGCATCCGACGCTTTGCATTGCACTTGGTGATGTATGGCTTGGATGCAGCTGCTCGCCCATGGAAACCCATTCCATGAAGCTCTCTGCGCACTGTTCTTGAGCTACATGAAGTTTGGAGGTCTGTAGTGATTGACTCTGCAGAAAGTTGGCGACCTCTTCGCACTATGCGCGTCAGCATCCGCTGACCCCGCTCCGTCAGTTTACGTGGCCTACCACTTCGTGGCTGAGTTGCTGTCGTTCCCAAACACTTCCATTTTCTTATAATACAGCTGACAGTTGACTGTGGAATATTTAGGAGCGAGGATATTTCACGACTGGATTTGTTGCACAGGTGGCATCCTATCACAGTTCCACGCTGGAATTCACTGAGCTCCTGAGAGCGACCCATTCTTTCACAAATGTTTGTAAAAACAGTCTGCATGCCTAGGTGCTTGAATTTATACACCTGTGGCCATGGAAGTGATTGGAACACCTGATTCCAATAATTTGGATGGGTGAGCAAATACTTTTGGCAATATAGTGTATATATATATATATGTATATATATATATATATATGTATATATATATATATATATATATATATATATATATACATATATATATATGTATATATACATATATATATATATATATATACATATATATATATATATATATGTATATATACACATATATACACCCGGCTACGCTGCTTCGCTTCTTCTTCTTCTTGTTTACTACTGGTGGTTGGCTTTGGTCGCAGTACCGCCACCTTCTGCTCTGGAGGGTAATCGCCGGGTGTAGTAGGAAAAAATCAGTAGTTGTGGAGAATTGTGTGGGTATGGCGAGTGGGAAAGAACAGGAGTTGGAACTTTATAGGTCTGATGTATGGGACCACTTTGCATTTAGAGGGACCTACGATGACGGCGGAAAGAAAGCTGTGGATAAAAGTGCAACAGTGTGCAAGCATTGTGCAACACGACCAACATGTCATGCTAACCCCGAAATCCCACATACTCCGCCAGCAACCGCCGCTCCGCCCCGCTGCGCTCCAGACCGGCTGCTCAAAGCAAAGCCTACAGCCCCCACTGTGGCTTCGTCCGCTCCGCTCTGAGTCCCTTGGAGATGGTAGAGGGCATGCGCCAGATGATTACATTCAAAGCAGCAAAACATACGGAAATGATCCAGGGTTTCCGCGGATCATTTAAAATAATTACAATCCATTATTTTTTGGGTGATTTTTTCATTAATTCCATAAATTTTTATGGGATTTCGGTGTAAAAATCAACATGTATCGAACCGAACCGAAAACCGTGACCAGAAACCGTGAATCGAACCGAACCATGGATTTTGTGAACCGTTCCACTCCTAATATATATATATATATATATATACACACACAGGGGTTGGACAATGAAACTGAAACACCTGGTTTTAGACCTCAATAATTTATTAGTGTGGTGTAAGGCCTCCTTTTGCAGCCGATACAGCATCAGTTCGTCTTGGGAATGATATATACAAGTCCTGCACAGCGGTCAGAGGGATTTTAAGCCATTCTCCTCCACCAGCAGGATAGTGGCCGGGTCACAATGTGAAGAATGTTTCCTGACTCGCTCCTCCAAAACACCCCAAAGTGGCTCAATAATATTTAGATCTGGTGACTGCAGGCCATGGGAGATGTTCATCAAACCAATCTTCCACCAGTCTTGCTGTGTGTATTGGTGCATTGCCATCCTGATACACAGCGCCTCCTTCAGGATACAATGTTTGAACCATTGGATGCACATGGTCCTCCAGAATGGTTGATTAACTACTAGAAATGCTAATTAAGATTTATTTTGGAGCTCAGAGCAAAAGCAGCCTGATAAATGAACATTAGGGAGGTAGTTGTATCTTAGATATTTTAGGAGAAATGTTCTTTTATCCAAACTAAACGGTAGAAAAGCCTGGAAGTCTATGATCATCTCAGCATGTTAGATTTCTCATTATTTCATCTTCTAGCACAGGGGTCTGCAACCTTTCATATCCAAAGAGCCATTTTGCTTCGAGTACGACCAAGTCAAAGTTTTTTAGAGCCGCAAAATACATGTCTTTAAAAAAAAATTTTTAATTAGCTGGTGAAGGAAATTTATGTATTTTTAGCTTTTAAAATAATATTAAAACACATAATTTCCACGCTAATTCAAAGAAAGATGGCTCTTAAAACATATTTCTGTTTTTTTTAATATCATTCTTTTCCATCTTATAAAAAAACACAAAAGCTTTTAATACTGGTATTTATTAGAGTACATTATTTAGCTTTTTATATACATTTTAAGAGCCGCTGGAGAGGATCCAAGGAGCCACATGTGGCTCTGGAGCCGCAGGTTGCAGACCCCTGTTCTAGCATCTGGAGGTCGGAGGCCCTGCAATGCCCACCGCCTCCATCAGCTTCTTCCTCCTTTCAGTAATTTAGGCTCTAGTTCCGGTCTCCCTCCACCTTCAATGATGGAATAAACATGAAACGCTTCGCTTCCTGCTGCTGCTTCACTAACAGCAACTTTAGAACAAACTTTTTCTTACCTTCGACCTGCGCGGCCACGCTTCACGCTGCTGCTTGTTTACTTCCGGATTGATCGCCGCGCATGCGCGATAGCGTCATACGTCAGTACGTTTAGCGGCGTCTACTGACGTCATATTGGGGGTGGGTCCTCTTCACTGCTGTGGAGGTTTACATCAAATTACATTTACCCTGAAAGACAAAATAAAAATAACATCCTACAAAAATGTGATAAAAGCTCAATAACTAAACTAAGAACAATGTTTCTAGCACTTCCTAATAATGAACAACATTTACGCCTCTAAAGAATTATTGAGACTTCGCTTTGCAATAGATGATAACACATGTAGTTCTGTGAAAATGACATGGAAACTACGGACCGTGTTTTCTTCTCATATTCAGTGGTGCAAACATTTTGGAGTGATCTGCATATTAAACAACAACAATTTTCATTCCCAACCGTTACCTCCAGGGACGATATCTAATATTGCAAAGTAAAACTGATGAGCTCTGTATTAATACGATTGTATATCTAGCTAAATTTTTCATTCATAGATGTAGAATTGTCAAATCATCCCCCAAACTTGTTGTTTTTTTAAACGAGTTAAAGCTATATATAAAATCATTAAAGTTTCTGAAAGGTCCTAAAGCACAAAAAATACACTATATTGCCAAAAGTATTTGCTCACCCATCCAAATTATTGGAATCAGGTGTTCCAATCACTTCCATGGCCACAGGTGTATAAATTCAAGCACCTAGGCATGCAGACTGTTTTTACAAACATTTGTGAAAGAATGGGTCGCTCTCAGGAGCTCAGTGAATTCCAGCGTGGAACTGTGATAGGATGCCACCTGTGCAACAAATCCAGTCGTGAAATTTCCTCGCTCCTAAATATTCCACAGTCAACTGTCAGCTGTATTATAAGAAAATGGAAGTGTTTGGGAACGACAGCAACTCAGCCACGAAGTGGTAGGCCACGTAAACTGACGGAGCGGGGTCAGCGGATGCTGACGCGCATAGTGCGAAGAGGTCGCCAACTTTCTGCAGAGTCAATCACTACAGACCTCCAAACTTCATGTGGCCTTCAGATTAGCTCAAGAACAGTGCGCAGAGAGCTTCATGGAATGCGTTTCCATGGTCGAGCAGCTGCATCCAAGCCATACATCACCAAGTGCAATGCAAAGCGTCGGATGCGGTGGTGTAAAGCACGCCGCCACTGGACTCTAGAGCAGTGGAGACGCGTTCTCTGGAGTGACGAATCGCGCTTCTCCATCTGGCAATCTGATGGACGGGTCTGGGTTTGGCGGTTGCCAGGAGAACGGTACTTGTCTGACTGCATTGTGCCAAGTGTAAAGTTTGGTGGAGGGGGGATTATGGTGTGGGGTTGTTTTTCAGGAGCTGGGCTTGGCCCCTTAGTTCCAGTGAAAGGAACTCTGAATGCTTCAGCATACCAAGACATTTTGGACAATTCCATGCTCCCAACTTTGTGGGAACAGTTTGGAGCTGGCCCCTTCCTCTTCCAACATGACTGTGCACCAGTGCACAAAGCAAGGTCCATAAAGACATGGATGACAGAGTCTGGTGTGGATGAACTTGACTGGCCTGCACAGAGTCCTGACCTCAACCCGATAGAACACCTTTGGGATGAATTAGAGCGGAGACTGAGAGCCAGGCCTTCTCGTCCAACATCAGTGTGCGACCTCACAAATGCGCTTCTGGAAGAATGGTCAAAAATTCCCATAAACACACTCCTAAACCTTGTGGACAGCCTTCCCAGAAGAGTTGAAGCTGTTCTAGCTGCAAAGGGTGGACCGACGTCATATTGAACCCTATGGATTAGGAACGGGATGTCACTTAAGCTCATATGTGAGTCAAGGCAGGTGAGCAAATACTTTTGGCAATATAGTGTATATGATACCCTAAAACGCTTCCCTACAGAAGTAAACAGCTAAAACAAAGACTGAATTCTCCCCTCATGTTATACTTTCTTATTTTCTTTTATTTATATTATTGTTTTTATTTTAAAATTATCTTTATAAATTTCTATTTTGTTTATTTATTTGGTTTTATGTCTTTGATGTTTATGTTAACAGCCCTCTATGGCAAGTCTATGTTATAGATATATTTCAATCTGTGTGAAGAGATGTTCCCTCTGGCTATATTTTCTATGTAACCTGACTTGAAGAAACGAACTCTATGCGGCCATGTTTGTCTGTAAATTTTGAAGTTTTCAATAAAAAAAAAAAAAGGTTTACATCAAATTATTCAGTATTTAGAAATAACGGATAAAAATTTGAAACAAATATATAAAGATGCATCAAAAGAGGAAAGTAGTAAAAAAAAAAGCAGCAAAAAGGTTTTATAAAAAGAAGAAGAGATAATTGATCAATGTTTTCAGCAGAGATGATTATTTTAGCTTTGCACTGAGGCTGGAGGGGAGCCCTAATGAATGTCTTGCTTATCCGGCTTTATAAGTGGAACATTTAAAACTGTCAACATTAAGTTACTTGTTTGATATAAGGTACAAAGAAACAAAAAATAAGTATTCAATTCACAGTTCCAGCACATGAAGCTTCAAAATGTCTTCAATCACAGCAAAGTGGAACCAGAGTCCGAGTTAAAACCCGGCAAATAAAGTTGTTCTGGTTCAGGAACATCCTGTCCAAACTAACTGGTTAGGTAGCTCAAAACAAGTAGCCATACTGGTTCTGGTGAAAAGCCGGGCTTTGGGTCCAGCTGGACTCTGGTTCAGCAGCTGTAACTCAGCAGTAGCAGCAGCAGCTTCTGGCTCAGTCTAAGTTGTCTCCACCTGGCGGCCATGGAGGGAACTACACACAGACGGTCCCACCCTGTTCAGCGAGCAGTCTTTCAGAGCTCACTTTGACATCAGCACCAAGCTGAACTGGAACCGAGCTTTAAAGAACATCTTGAGAAACACACAGAACATCCAACGCAGAAACCAGCAGACATATATTTCATTATTTCTTCAATGGAACCTCACTAAGCTCCTCCAAGTCCTTGCAGCCTTTCCAACCATTTTTAGACTTAGACTCAGCTTTATTAATGCTTTGAGATTACTTCTTCAAGGAAATTCTGGTTCCAGTAGCTTCTATAGAGTAAAGCGAGTTAAAGGAAGATGACATTAAAGATAAAAATACTACAGACAATAGAAAAAAAGTGTTATGGTACAAAAGAGCACAACAAAAGTTATAATATCCTGGATTGTTTCCTTAAGATATAAAAATATCTGCTGAGTGCAGAGCTAAGGAAAGACTACACAGTAGCTGACTTGGATTATTGCACTTGGACTGCAGAGATGGAAAGACCAAAAGTCACAACTGGTCAGCATGGTAACCTTGATGGGTGGAACGTAAGCCGGTCAGGAGCAGGTTCCACGGTACCATAACATATCCTGATGAAGGACAAACACTGATGGGTTCAATTAATTTCTATTCAATTCTATTCAGTTTATTTCTATAGCTCCAATTCACATCATGTCATCTCAGGTCACTTTCCGTTTCACCAGATCATCCAGTCAGATTGATTCAAAGTTTTCTATCTAAGGAAAACCAGTTCATTGCATCGACTCATTGACTCTTCAGCAATCCCTCACACTAAGCATGCTTGTAGCGACAGTGGAGAGGAAAAACTCCCTTTGAACAGGAAGAAACCTCCAGCAGAACCAGGCTCAGTGTGAGCGGCCATCTGCTGAGGCCCACTGGGGTTCAAGGAGACAGAAGCAGACATAGAAAAAGAAGCATAGATACAAAAGGCAACTGTCAACCAGCTCCACAGGCGGCCCCGTCCAGGAAACACACAGCCAGGCAGACGAGCTCCGAGCCAGCTCCCATGTCAGAGGATGAAGAGAGCACATCCAGTTAGTCACAGTCAGAGAAACAGGACTACACTGGAAAACAGGCCAAGCTCCAACATCTAGAAACAAAGGTGTTGATGGCAGTATGGAAGGAATTGTGCTGCCTTATTTGTGACCTTATGCTGACTTGACAACACAGACAATGCAGCGTGTAGACAGGGTGTCTACATGCCGGAAGTCACGTATGAATCTCCACTGCAACCTGCGAGGAGTTTGTGTCTTTTTTCACTGATAAAGTGGAATCTTTCAGGCAGAATATCTGTAATAGTAATATGCCTTCTGATGATGTCTGCGCTCCTCCGGCACAGACTGCTGCATTCGAGCGGTTTGAGACCATTTCTTTGCTTTCTTTTTCTACGGTGGTTAGTGGCATGAAACCCACAAACTGTCCCTTAGATATTATTCCAGCCAAGTTTTTGAAGGAAGTTCTGAGCTCTGTTGGGCTCTTTTCTAACCCTTTTATAAGCACTTGTCTTAGCTCAGGGTTCCAGCTGCCTTCAAACATGCTATGGTTCGGCCCCTCATAAAAAAACTGCATCTTGACCCCTCTGTAATCCCCAACTTTAGACCTGTCTCCCACTTGCCTTTTCTTTCTAAGTGTAACCACCCGCGTAAGGATGAAACAAACTCAGTCCTAAAAATATACGGTCTTTATTAAACAAACAAACAAAAAAATCCTTTCCCTCTCTTTCTACGAAACTGATAGCCTAGGGTAGACAATATAATATTTAAACTCTGACATTAGTGGATGGCGGACAAACCCGCATAACCAGAACCAGAAGGTTGCACACTTATAAGGCTTCACAGCAATCAGGTGAAAAAAACACTGCACACGATCACCACTCAGCACTGCAGACGATCCAATATAACATTGTCTACCAGCTCACAGCCTCGTAGGAGAGTGAACAAGGAGAAAACAAATAGATCAATAAAAAAAAGATAAGAAACAAAGCAGTTACTCCGCCCTCACAAGTAAACAACGGGACCAAAGACATCAAACAGGGTCGGACTAACTAAAAGAAACAAAACATAAACCTAAGGGCAGCAGGAGCAACAAAAAAACATCTCTGTAAACAAACAGAAAACACCAAATTACAAAAGTAATGCAATCAAAATATAATTTTAATGACTACCTTAAAATCTCTAAAAATACCCGTATCGCGTACACCACCCTCATCTGCCCGTGTACACAGCCTGGTCTAAAAAACCCGCAGGGCCTCCTAACAAGGAAAAGAACGGTTAAAATTTACATTCGTCATAATAAAAGTTCAATATAACCCACGCTCTA